TTGCAGGCAGAAGTGATTGCAGGAAATGTTTGAAGTGATGAAAAGCAAGGACCTACAAGCAAGATTACACTATCCAGCAAAGCTGTCATTTAGAATCGAAGGGCAGATAAAGAGCTGCCCAGACAAAAAGCTAAAGGAGTTCATCACACCAAACTAGTATTACAGGAAATGTTAAAGGGACTTCTTTAAGAAGAAGAAGAAGAAAAAGATTAAAAATATGAATCATAAAATGGCCATAACTACATAGCTATCAAAAATTACTTTAAATGTGCGTGGATTAAATGCTCCGATCAGAAAACATAGGGTGTCTGAATGGATAAGAAAACAAGACACTTACATATGCTGCCTACAAAAGACTCACTTCAACTGACAGGCACACACAGACTGAAAGTTAAGAGATGGAAAAGATATTTCATGCAAATGGAAACAAACAATCTGGGGTAGCAATACTTATACCAGACAAAATAGACTTTACCCTACCTGAGGCCCCGAACCTAACTGTCCCCTATACCTGGGTTCCTGAGCATTAAACAGAAAAAACCAACATGATATAGAAACATGTTAGTTACATGCAAACAAGTGGTTAGAATAAGATGGAACTTGGAGACATTGTAGAAAACAGGTCTACCTTTCATCTAGCGCCAATATTCCACCTTTGTGTACCAATCCACCCAGCAGGATGAATCTTGTTTCACACAGAGGTGCTTCTTGCAAAGTGAGCACCAGATGTTGCTCTTCACCTTCTTGCGTGGATTGTCTTTGTAAGACACTCCAGGATTTTGCTTGTTGTACCTGGAGTGCTTTTCCATGCACACAACACAGATATGATTAGATAAGATATGATTAGAAATTACCGAAAAATCGGTACAGCAGTCTGGTAGGGTTAAAACAAAGGCTGTAACAAGAGACAAAGAAGGACCCAGTAATCCCACTTCTGGGTAATTATCCAACGAAACCCAAAATGCCATTTTGAAGGGACGTATGCATTCTTATGTTCATTGCAGCATTATTTACAATGGCATTGATTGGAGGCGGCCTGGGTGTCCATCAAAGAATGAATGGCTAAAGAAGGGGTGGTACATGTATACAATGGAATATTACTCAGCCATAAATAACAATGAAATCTTGCCATCTGCAAAAACATGGATGGACCTAGAGGATATTGTACTGAGTGGAGTCAGACAAAGACAAGTGTCATGATTTCACTTATAAGTGTAATCTAGAGAAGAGGATAAACTAACAATCAAAAGAGAAACAAGCTCATAGATAACAGAACATTTTGATGGTTGCCAGATTGATGGGATAGATGAAGTGGAGAAGGGGCTTAATTGGTGCAGATTGGCTGTTACAAAATAGCCACGGGGATGTGGAGTTCAGCATAAGGAATATAGTCGATGATATGGTAATAACTAGATGTGGTGTCAGATGGGGACTGGATTTATCAGGGTGATCTGTTCGTAAATTACGTAAATGCGTAATCATTGTGTTGTACACCTGAAACTAATATTGTATGTCAACTGTAACTGAAAAATTTTTTTAATTTGTAATGTACTGTCCCAATATTCATTTCAAGTACTTTTCTTTCCCCACTCAGTTGTAGTTTTGTAATGATCCAGATTTTTTATATATATATATATATATATATATATATATTGTGTGTGTGTATCTGTTTTCAGTATCTCATTCATTGATTGAGACAATATATGTGCATATGATACACAGATGAATTGGAATGTAAATATCTTTTTGTTTTCCGATGGTCTTAGGCGACCCCTGTGAAAGGGTCGTTCGACCCCCAAAGGGGTCGCGACCCACAGGTTGAGAACCGCTGCTTTAAAGGGTTCCCAGGTCGTCTGAAATCAGCCGGGCAGGTGGCTCTGTCTGGGGTTTCACGACGGGCTTCGTGGAAGAGGCCAGTGGAATTTTCAGGAGGTTGTGGTGGAACCTAGTTTGCATTCATCTGCCAGTGGTTGTCACAGAGAAGAGTTTTAAAAACACACCTGTGTGCACTCTGACCCTAAGGTGACAAGGACCGCTCCTCCCGATGGCTTGGCCACCCGGAGCCGGCGACTCCTTCACTGCCGGGGTCAGACCTGAGGGGCAGCCCAGGCTGCGTCGCCTCCGCTTGGTGGAAGGCGACCCGGCTCCCGTCAGTGCCCTGCATAGTCCACTTTTGAACCAGACCGCGGCCGGCCATCTGTCCTCCTCAGCAGTGCCATCCTGCCCCCACCCGCTGCCGCTGCACTGTCCCCCTCCCGACGGGGAGTCCCACCCGGGGCTCAGCACCAGGAGGCCAGGGAGTCGGGGTTCTGTTTGTTCCCTGTTGCTCGGTGGGGTCCACACATCGCAGCGAGAGCTGCCTGCGTACAAACAGACGGGACGCACGTCCCCACGACCCCGTCCTGAGGCTAGCCTCCTGGCCGACCCTCTGGGCTCGTGTGCTGTGTGGTTCTAAGCTGCAGTGTCTGCCCTGCTTCTCAGCGTTACAAAGAAGCATTTTCCCGTACTGTTAAAACACCCAGAAACAGCAGCCGAGCAGCTTGTGTTCTAGCTGTTTCGCTGTGGTTCCCTAATGAGTCCTTTCCCTCTGGTTGGTGACATAAGTGGTTTCTGACGTCTCGCTGTTACAGGAAACACTGCATGTGCTTCCCGTTCTTTGTTTCCGGTTTAGGACCGACTCCTGGAAGCAGACTTACTGAGGAAGGGACACAGGCGTTTTCTGACCTGCGTGCGTCTGTCCTTCCGAAAGGATCATGCCCACTCACACTCGCACAGCAGGGCTTTGTCCTGGAAACGTAGGTCTCCGTCCACACAGGCGGGCCGGGGCCTCACACACACAAGGTGCCGTGGTTTTGCTGAATGTGTGCTTGACAGTCTCGTACATCATTTTATTCAAAAGGGTTTCAGCGCCGTGTCTCTTGTCTCCAGATGTGAGTCAGGCTTCCTTTGCCGCTCTGGCCCCTTGACGCCCTGTCCTGCCCCTGCTCTTCCTGTGACGCGCTCCTTCCGGGGCCATGAGCTGGGGGTGTTCACGGCACTCGGGGCCCAGAGCAAGAACACTGGTCACACGCCTTCCCGGGCTGTTTGCACTTGGTAAAGAGACCTGGTTTTCTCCTAGGGTACACCCACCCTCGCTGAGCCGCTGGGGGCCAGCTCTAGTGCAGCTTGCTCGGGAGTGGGGAGCTGGCTTTGCTCAGCCTGCTGTTCGCAGAGCCCCACCTCCTGCGGCAGGGCCCCCGGCCCCCCGCCTGTGCCTTGCAGTCACGGGCCTCCTTTCCGAGGAGGGCGGGTGGGAAAAGGAGCATCTGCAGGACCATGAGTGCCTGGTGTTCAGCTGGAGACCATGGCTTCTCTTAAATGGTGGGAGTCGTAAAGGCGCCACCACAGCGCCAGTTAAAATTGCTTTAGATCAGCGGCGCCGTGATCGCTCACGTGACTGCGTTTGCAGAACCTCCCCGTTTGGGTAAACTGAGTTTTCCCCATGGAGGTCGAACGTTCTTGACGTTGGAAAGCTTTGGTCTGAGACTTGTGACATTCCGTGAGCAATAATGCTTTTTTATTTCAACTATTTTCCTGATTCCTCATCTCATCTTTTTCTTGTCCTCTCCCAAAACCTACTTTTGTGAATAAGGAGGACTTCCTGGTCCTGGAGGGGGAGGCATGTAGTGGCAGGAAGGAGTCCGTATGCAGTCATGCTGGGAATGAACTCAGCTCGGCCGCACCTGGTCCCACCATCCAGCCTCTCTGAACATCGTTCATGCAAAGACAGTGCCGTCCAACGGGTTACCACACTGGGGGTTATTTTTTTTTAAAGATTTTATTGGGGAATTAGGGGAGGGGAACAGCGCTGGGGAATTGGGGGAAGGGGAACAGACAAGTTGCTGCCCTTTTGTTCTTCAGTCTAGTTGTGGAGGACGTTGCTTCGCTGGCCCATGTTGGTATTATCATTGCGCTCTTCCCGGGTCCAGGTTGAGCTGTTGTTCACCATCTTAGCTGTAGAGGGCGCAGCGTCACTGGCCCTCATGTGGGATCTGAACCGGGGCCCTGATGCTCAGAGCTGGCGTCCCAAGCCAGCTCTTAACCAATGCTCCACTCGGCCGGCCCCACGCTGGGGATTATTAATCGGTTAACTCTTCTCAGTATCAGAATTACATTCTAGGCTCGGAACCAGATTACTGTGAACATTTTCCTTTGGGGAGAAAAGAGTGTTTTCTGTCACGTGTCAGTCAGTGTGCCATGGCGGGAACAGTGCAACATGCTGTGTGGCTGGCAGGCTCACCCACCCAAGGGTTCTGTCCTCGCCACCCTCTGCCTGACATGGCCGCCCTCCGGGTCCGGCCCTTCCTCACATGCCGCTTCTGCCGCCGTGCTGTCTGCCTGGCGGGGCCCGCTGTCACCGACCCGCGTGCCACCCTGCTCCCTTCCTGCCCGCTGTCTGCACTTGAACATTTGCTGCGTGTGTGTCCTTCCCACCAGACTGTAAGCTCCACAAGTGACAGTGGCGACGTCTGGTGCTGGAACAGTGCTTAGCCCCACTGTAGCTGCTCAGAAATAGTTGCTGAGCGGACAGGAAGTAAGTGGACCTTAGGACAAGCGTCGCCCTCGGCTCTGTGGTTGGAAGCGCCCTTGCGCAGGCAGGAGGCAGGGTGCGGCTGGGCCGTGGGGCCGTGCACCGTGGTGGCCAAGGCAGCTGGCTGCCTGTGGGGCCCAGTCCATGGCTCATGTCTCAGACGGGACTACAGGGACGCTGGGTGCCGCCGCTGGGCCTGCCCTGCACGTCCGGGGGCACCCAGAGAAACAGCTCTGTACAGGTGTGAAGGGGAAGAGAGGGGCAGGTGGAGGGGGATGTGAGGTGTGGAGATGGAAGCCTGTGAGTCTTGACAACCACGGCGCGGCCAAGCCTCTCCTGCCTCTCTGTCCCCCTCGCCTCTTTCCTTCCCACTGTCCCCGCCCTCCGTCACCTTGCTCGGTAGTCACTGATGGACTGCACCTTCTCCTAGGATCCCTGGCCGGCTGAATGACAGGAGGACCCCTTTGGGCGAGCTGAACTGGATCTTCACAGCCATCACTGACACCATCGCATGGAACGTGCTCCCTCGGGGTGAGGCTGTGGGCCCGGCCTGGGCGGGTGGGGGCGGTGCTGCGGCCGGAGCAGGACACACTGCCCGTGGACATAAGAGGAGTGAGATGGAGTGGGGTTTCTCGGTGAGGAGAGCGATGGAGGATGAAAGGCAGAAGGGAGGGGACCCCAGGAGCTTTCCGCGAGGGTGAGCTGGGCCACGCGGCGGGCGCGTGTGAGCCCCAAGGAGCATTTGCTGCTTTCCGGGCAAATTCGGGGCTCGCCTTCCCTAATCACCGGCACTATCCATGTTCCTTAAAAACAGGCTCACTTCGGTAGCCTAGTCGATTGGCTGGGTTTGGGAGTTGATTCATATTTACGTACGTAAGTGTGTACGTGTGGATTGACAATGGAAAATGTATGCGTTAGTCCCAACTTGCTTGTAAAAATTTTTGATGGTAGTAAGTTTGTGTATTTGGCTTCAAATGGTGGACATGACTCACCAAAGACGCCTTTTTATCTTTTCTGTGCCCTCAGACCTTTTCCAGAAGCTCTTCAGACAGGACCTGCTGGTGGCTAGTCTGTTTCGAAATTTCCTCCTGGCAGAAAGGGTCATGAGGTCGTGTAACTGCACCCCGGTCAGCAGCCCCCGCCTGCCCCCCACCTACATGCATGCGATGTGGTGAGTGTCACGCCGCCATTCTCTAAGTGGCATGGGTTTGTCTCACTTCTGTACTCATACGAGGCTCGTGGTGTTAGGTGCTGCCAGAGAGAGACTGGTCCCCAAACTCGGAGACCAAGGTGACAGGGAAAGAAAGTCCCTCCCACAGCCTGCCGCCGATAGGGAGCCTGGGGGTGTTTCAGGACTGGCAGGGCCCCTTGTCCCCAGAGCCCCTGCAATTCTGTCACTCGGGGCAGGAGGGTGACCTGGCGGGACCGGTTGGGAACAGAAACTGCCAGCTGGACTCATGAAGCGCACCCGATGGCTCTAGAGAGTCACAGCTGTGGGCTCGTGACCAGCCGTCCGTGTGCTGACCCCACGCACGCACGCGTCCCTGCACAGACACGCACGAGAGTGGCCTTTATGACTGCCAACCACAGTTTTCCCCCAAAACTGGGGTACTGCCACTAACGCTACTGACAGTGGCAGGACGATAATCGTGACGTAGACTGTCTCTAATCCCCACAGGATAGCTGAGTGCCTGTGGCCTCTCCCCGCTCCTTGCTCTTTTAGCAGAGTCTGAGGAAGTGCTGAAAGCAGTGGTAAAAGGAGAGTGAGTCTCGGTTACAGCCATCGGTGGAGAAACCCTAGTACAAGTCGTATTTAAAATGCCATTCACTTACCGTTAGCCTTAAAATCATTTTACAGTGTCTTTTCATGGTCAGGTCGATTTTGCCTGGTGGCTTTTTTTTTCATATGTGCACGACCACTTTCCCCCCCGAGCCTCGAAGCCCAGGGAACCAAGAGGTGTCTGTGAGCTCCCTGCCACTCATTCACTCAAGGAAAATCAGGCGCTAACATTTTTATCTGTGCGTTAAAGCAAGCTGCACCATGCTGGCCGGAAAAGGTTAAAGCGTGCGTCACCCATGAGCTTTTTCAGAGTTTACAGATTAAAGCAGAGAACGCTGATACGCAAAACCCAGAAGCAGGACGCGCGCTCTCCGGAAGACCAGCCACGCGGCAGCTGTAGTCATGTGTGAACGGCATGGCCGCCACGGCAAAGCCAATTTCCACGACTCCGTGAACACTGGAAATGGACGGAAGAGTTACTCGAAAAGCCTTTGTAAGACTTGGAATGAATAATTAGAACGAAGACCCACATTTCTGGAAGCACAGATCCTCACAAGAGCCTTATTCCCATAAGAAAAGTGATGCCTTAAATCCTGTCTGTTTCTTCTGAACCAGACTTATAAAACATCCTTTATTTATAATAAGTTAAAGAAAAGAAAGAAAGGCGGAAAAGCTGCATGGGGCCAGTGCCACGTCTGGACACGGACAGAAAACTGATTCCAACAGGAAACGGGCTGCCCAGTGGGAAGGGCCTTCTGGCCACTGGGGCCTCACCAGGCCACACAGTTCCCTCAGGAGGAGGCAGCGTGACGTGGACACGAGGTGGCGACACCAGTGTCCTGTCCCCGTCCACCCAGCCAGCCAGCAGCCAGTCCATGTCTTGGGGCACGTTTCTCTGGGTGTCAAGTGGCCTCCGTGCGATGTGCTGAGTTGCACAGAGGAAAGCTGGCCGTGTCCTGTGCTGGGAGCAGTGCCCCAACCAGAGCTGAGCAGAGAGCAAAAAGGAGAGGCGGGTGGGAGGCACGTGGAGGCGGCCGCCCAGGGACAGCGCCCTTGTCATCATCCCGGACATTTGTCTCGCGTTGGCCTCCCAGAATGCATGTGCCCTGGGCTCTGTGTGCTGCTGAGGACAAGTCCAGACTCGAGGCGTGAGGCCGAGTCTCGTCCCCTTGCCTGCCCTCGGGGCCGGGGCCTGCGGGCCTCTCCTGTGAATGCAGCTCCCGTGAGTCTCACGGCGACTCGTCACTTGTGGTTGTTTGTTGTGCAGAGGGGATGACGTGACGCCCAGTCCACAGAGGCCAGACCCACATGGGGAGCCTCACTCACAGTGGCCCGAGGGACGTGGAGTTGCCGCCAGTCACACGTACATGTGGGGTTTTCTCCTTTCCTGGTGCCTCGGGGGCCCCTGGGACGAACGCGCCCTGAAGACCAGGCTAAGCCAGTCACTCAGCCTTCACGGCTCCCCATCCTGCGAAGCGCTGTTGGTGACATGACACGGCCCTGGTCCCTCTCGACAAGTTCATGTGTGTGGCACACGTCCTCCCTCGCTGGATGGGGCTTTGCCAACGGCGACGCCAGCACAGCCTGCAGCCCAAGAGCAGACAGCAGTCCCCTGACCTGCTGTGACTGGAATGAAGTGTAAAGTGAGGCTTCGGGTTTTGAGAGGAAACGTGCTCGGAGGAACGTAGGCAGCAAAGGAGAAGAAAGGCTCGGACGCCGTCCGCTTGGTCGGAAGCCTGCGGGCAGGTCCCGACACCGCCACCAGCAGCCAGTGCCACTCAGCCCGCTCTCCGTGGTTTTCTCAAGGGGTCCTGCAGTCGGAGCAGCACCAAGCCTGGGCATCTGGAGGATGAACCCAGCCTGAGCTGGGACCCCCGCACCGGCCTCTCTCAGCTTGCTGTCCCCCCAGCACCCCCAATTCTCCTGCGTCTCCTCTCATTGTCCCCGAGGCATGTTGAGAAATGGGGGTCTCCCGGCCAGTGTCAGCTCAAAGGCATCACAGGAAATCCAAGGGGATTAGTTCAGTGGTAAATAGATGCCCCCACACACCCAAATTGTGAGTGATAACAGTTTTTTAAATGCTGTCCCCAAGCTCTATCAAAAGTGACCTAAACCCTGCTGTCCTCACGTTGAGTGGCTTGCCTGCTGGGCCACCTGAGATAGGCCTGTCCTCTTGGTCCACATCCGGAACCAGCTAGAATATGGCACGCCTTACCTGTCGAGTGAGGTCGTAGGTGGGAGCATTCTTAACGCATGTCTCATCACAGTGAACGTTGCTTTAAAGAAGGTTTTCGCTTCCCCGGGGAGTGTCCTCAGTGATAAAGTCTTGGTCCCGTGCGTACTTTCCACCCACTGAGAAAAGCCCTGAGCTGAGAGCAGGGGAAGGCAGGAGGGAGGCCCGTCTCCCTGTCCGGCCGCGGCGAGAGCTCACCTGTACCTGCCTCTCCTGGGCGCTGAGCGTCAGCACGGCCCCCGTCCAGTCCTTCCATCTGCCGACCTCTAAGGTGACGCTCACCTGAAAACGTGCCACTAAAACACTGTACTTGCTCTTCGTGGAGTTTATTACTGTGGACGTCCCAGGAACGTTCACGTGCAGGCCTAACGCTGACTTGAAATGGTCTCACCGCAATCCTAATGTGAGTGAGCTTGGTCGTCTGGGCTCAGAGAGAGTTCTGTTAGGTCGTTGGAAAAGTCATGACGCATTTTTGCAACGAAAAATGTAGAAAAAATACATCATGACTTTTCCGATGACCCAACAGAAGACTGGAAGCCCCAAGACTCCTCCTTGAGTATGAGCAGCCGTTTGGACCGGAAATGGGGTGGGGTGCAGAGTGCCCCGGCCCTGGCAGCCCGTGTCCGAGGCTCTGTTGACGGGGCTTCACACCAGCGGGGCAGCCACCTTCCCGATGTCATGGTGCCTGACTGAAATGTAACAAGGAGCTGCCACATTGTAGATCCAGGGAGGAGAAAACCACCCAGAGTCGGGAATAACCTGCATTTCCTTATGAAATGGCTCAAAAGGTCAGAAACACTGTGACGCTCAGTACAAATCCTGGGTCATGCAGCCGTGCCTGGCCGAGGACACTGAACCAAGCGGCTTCCCCGTCCTGTGCGGTCAGCTGTAGTGGTGGGCGTGCAGGGCCGTTGGTGACCCAGGCCCAGAGGCTCTGCACACAGGTGTTTGTCATTCCCGTGTGGCCCGGGTGCAAGCCCTCGGGCCCAGGCTGCTCCTGTGCTGGGGGCCAGCTGCCTGTGGGGGCGTTTGGGGGGCTCATTTCTGCTCTCGCCCCATGTGGCATTGAGCGTGCCGCCTCTGGGGAGGCTGGGATGTGGCCTGCGTGCCGCATGGCAGGTGCTCAGCTCAAGCTCTGTCCTTGGAAGGCCGGGGGCAGCGCAGAGCAGCTGTGAGGGAACAGGCCTGGGCACCAGAGGGTCGCTTTGTCAGCTGCCACCGAGGTCTGAGGGGACCTGTGCTCAGCGCCGGAATGGGCTTGTCACTAGAGTTAACAGCGGCCTTGGGCAGAGCTCGTTTCCATGATGAAACACTTGAAAACGGTGCCCAGAGCGCCCCCCTGCTCATAAATGGACCAGAGTGGGTAGGTCCCCAGGGAGTGCATGGCCAAGGTAGTCAGAGCTGCACGGGGACCAGTAACTCACCTCGCAGCCATCACTTCCCTTAGGTGGTGACGGAGAGGCTGGGTTCCTGCCAGGAGGCGAAGGGAACAAAGCGTAACAAAAACCGAGGTTAAGCACGAGTAATACCCATTTACACTTGGCCTCGGGCGGGTGCTAATGATGAACTGCTCAGGGCCTGTTCTGTTTAATTTTTGACGCAAAGCCATCAGGGAGCCGTCCCCTCCAGCTCCAGCTCCAGCCGGTCCCAGAGCCCCCGTGTTTCTTGGCAGTAGTGACCTGTGCCTCCGTGCCACCGAGGGCGCCGCACTCGCTGATGGACGGGTGCAGCTGGAGCCCGCGCTCCGGGAAGGCTTCCCCACGGCTCCTCCTCAGGCAGCTGGACGGCATCTCAGGCCCGTTTCCTGAAACCCAAGCTCCGGGCCGTGATGATCCGAGCAGCCCAGAGCCCCGTGGAGCCCGCACGCACCCACACCCTCAGCCCCGCGCGCCCAGTGCTGAAAGCAGGGCCTCGGGCCTGAAGGCCTTGCTCCCCACGTTCCCTCAGTGAGAACCCCAAGTTCAGACGTCCCGTTCCCTGTGATTGTTGCGCCCTGGCAGATACATCCTATTCTAAGGGACCGATACAGAGCTGTCGCCATGCCGGGCAGGCGTGCAGCTTAGTGGGGCCCTGAGGCCCTTGCATCTGACCCTTTCCTTTTGTAAAAACAACCAGAGACCCAGAGAGGGTGCTGGCTTGCCCAGCGCCAGCCGCCGTGTCCCCTCCTGTCCCCTCGGGCGTCCTGCACCTTCTCCTGTTCTGGTGGTCGAGTTTGACCTCGTGGTGTCAGCAGGTCTCGCGTCCTCGCTTGTGCCTTCTTCCCGCCTTTCCTCATCACTCAGCTGCGCCCCTACAGCTGAAGCTGCGTTGCTCCCTGTGACCTGAGCGACACCCCCGCCCCCTGGGCCCCTTCACCTGGCAGTCTCCCTGGGCCTCTGTGCACATGAACACAGCCGTCCTGGGCTGCTCTCCTGCATGAAGATGTGTGGAGCTCGAGGTCCCCAGTGCTGGGACCCAGGTGGGGGCCGGCCCTTAGGAGCCATCCGGCCTCATGGTGACGATGTGGGTCACCCTTCTTGGATGGTCACCCCTGGCTGACACAGCTTCGTCAGGCTGTGTTTCTCTGTTTGCAGAGGACGAGGGGAACACAGGAGACGGTGCTGAGTGCTCTCTCCGGGCAGCCCTGCTCTCGGCGCTTTGCCTAGAACCCCGGAGGCCTCAGAAAACTGGGCCATTTCTAACAGGTTGTGAGTCTTCGTCCTCATGATTTTGATGAGATGGGCTGGACGGGGCTCGTCAACCCGCTGTCCAGGACATGGTCCCAGAGGTGTCTGCTGGCCCCACTCGGAGCTGGGCGTGCGGCAGCTGCCACCACCCCACCCACTTCTTTCTCCTCCCAGCTGCGCACACTTGCTTCTTCTGACTCTTGAACCTGCAACTTTCTATTTGGTTAAACTCACGGCATCTTTGTAGGGCTTAATTGCAGTAATTGACTTTGCTTCTGTCTTAACCAAGACTGAGTGCCCTCCTCATTGCTGCTAAACAACCCGTTTGCCTGCAACCTGGGCATTTATTGAGCTTGTGGGAGCTGCTTATGCCTGTACTTTGGGCACATTTGATTAGCTCCTGATTGCCTCTTAATTAGATTGGTGGGGGGAAGGGCACGCTTGTGCAGAGGGGCCAGTCTCGGAGAAAATGGACCATCTCATCTATTTGAATAATGAGACGTCTTTCTGTTCATCTGAAATTTCTGCTGTTTTCCCGGGCATTATATTTTTCTCCTTGTTTGCTCCTTCATGAAGACATCTGAGGAGCTGCCCGCTGACACAGTTCCATTAGGCTAAGTGAGCAGAGCATGGGATCCTTCAGTCAGAAAATTGCCCTGGAGAAGAGTTTGCAGTACTGGCAGCTAAGCCGTGTACTGACCGTGATGTTGTTTCGACGAGGGGTCCATTTCTGAAAGACGTGCGTCAGGCCCATGGGACCACGGCGCGTCGCAGGCTGTGAATGAGACGGCCATCGGCACCCAGCTTAGAATGGATCTTGAACATGTGGCAGAGGACACAGCTCTCTGAATGTCCCTCATCCCACCAGTGACCCCGCCAAGGCCTTCCTGTCACCTCAGGGTCTCACAGGACCCTGGGAGGGAGACGAGCATTAGCACAGTTCACACGTGTGAAACTGACCCTCAGGAGATGAGCTGTCTCCAAGCAGTTTGTGTTGGGCATAGGTGCAGACCACTGAGGGGTGCTGGGCTGACAGTGCTGGCATTTTGGGGAAGTGGGGGGCTAGCGCAGATGCCGTGGGCGGGACGAGGGGCATTCCAGGTCCACGGGCGGACCTCCGTTCCCCTGGCCTCACGCCGGCCCCTCCCTGAGGAAGCCTGGGCCTGACCCTGGCCTTCTGTGGCACATTGGTGTGTGATGCCACTGCTGTCCCACCAGCTGCTCCCTCGACGTGGGCAGGCCCCTGCGCTGGGTGTGCTCGCATCAGGGGCAGGAACGACATTACAAGGTGGGATGAGTCCCTTTATTGTCCCCAAACTTGATTCTAATTTTAAGAGAAGAGAGATCACCACACAATAATTTCAGCATGCAGCCCGCCGCCCGTTCCTGCTCCCGTGCCCTGTGCCAGCACCGCGGGGCTGGGGCACTCCTGGTGGCGCCAGTCAGTGACGCCCAGTGGCGCCCTCTCTTCTCTCCCCAGGCAAGCCTGGGACCTCGCTGTGGACATCTGTCTCTCCCAGCTGCCCACCATCATTGAGGAAGGCACTGCATTTCGGGTGAGTCTCGGGTCGTCCTGCGTGGGAGGGAGGGTGAGTCCCCGCCTGGGGACTGTTTCTGTGGATCTGGGCTGCAAAGTGCCTGTCAGCTGTGGCGCCCAGGACTCAGGGTGTCGGGGCTCGTACACCCACTACACTGAGTCAGAAGTTCAAAGGATTGCGTCAGCCAGGAGTTCAAGCCAGATTCTGAGGTGGTCAGGTCTTAGGAAGTGTCTCTGTTCAAACCTTGCCGCATAAATCTGCTCTCCTTAGCGCCCGCTCCCCGTTGAGTGTTTGCTGTGTGTGAACACCAGGTCTGATGCCCATCCCCTCCTCAGGAGTCCCGTGAGAAGAGAAGTCACAGCTGTCAAGTTAGAGCACCCTTCGCACAGGTGGGGTGGGCGGCCAGGCGGCCCTCCTGTGTGCCTGAGCTCTGCCGCGGAGGACAGGTTTGGAAAACCTTGTAGGACTGAGGCTTTTACACGTGTGCTGTGTGCATGGTTTCGTTCTGTACAGTTAGGGGATCAGAACTGGACGCTCTCCTAGGAAACCACCCAGTTTCTCTGTTACAGCCCTTCCGCTCTGGAAGGCAGGCGCCTGCAGCAATCCTAGAATTTCTCATCTGCGAGAAGTGTGTTCTGCGTGAGGGAATAATTTCACCACATTTTGCTGGGGGGAGGGGGTAACCGAGGTAGACCTCACGCCAGCTTTTTAATTGTTTTCACTTTTTCGGAGCCGTAACATACATATAGAAAATTTCCTATGTCCTAAGCACGCGGCTTGATGAGTCTGCAAGCTGCACGGACACTCGAGTGACCAGCACACACATGGAGCAGCCCGTGAGCCCCCCCGTGCAGCCCTCAGCACTGCCTTCCCCGGGGGCTTGTATTCCGACTGGGGCTCAAGCGAGATGCACCCCCCACCACCACCGCCCCCCAGCTGCTCCATGTTGCAGTTCCCTCTCATGACGGCAGGGGCACTTCAGAGCTCGCTTGTCATCCCAGGGCCCGCGGGCACTTTGTTTCCAGGCTGTGGCCCCCACAAACAGTGCTGGCCAGCTCCAGGCCGCCATTGGCGCCTGAGGCCAAAGGGAAAGCAGGACTATTGAGCCTGTCTTTATTTGAAACTTGCATATTTTGTTCATTATGGATTTTTGCCTTAATGTTTATTTTTTTAATATTGCATCGAAGTATTTTTTTTTCTCAATTGGGAGGTTTTGGTGCCCCCTTAAATTCTGTGCCTGAGGCCGGTGCCTCACTCGCGGTTGCCCCAGGTCCGGCCCGGCCTTGTGGGTTTGTGACAGGTGTGTGCACCAGAGGGGCCCGTTCTGGGCACAGGTGTGCGTCGCTCAGTTTAGCGGGTGCTGCCAGACAGCGTCCCAAGTGGTCCTGCCCACAGCTGGGGTGGGGTTACTTGCTCTGCATCCTCGTCGATAATATTTTCCACCTTTTCCCCCTTTTGGCGATTCTAGTTTAGTGCAAAAAGGTATTTCATTGAGATTTGATCTTGTATTTCCCTGTTTCGTATTTTTATTGGCCATTCAAATATCCTCCTTTGTAAATTCACTTTTATATTATCTTACTTATAGTTTCTTACTGATGTGTAGCTGTTTGCTATGTGTTCTGAATACAAATTCTTTGGGACGCATTGCAAATACGTTTTTTCACTCTGCGACGTACTTTTCAGGTGCACGACAGAGATTTGATATTTATGTACGTTAAGAAGTGATCCCCATGAAAAGTCATTACCTTCTGTCACCTTATGAAGTTATTACAGTATTGCTGAGTATTTTCTCTGTGCCGTTACTTACATCCCCATGACTTATTCATTTTATAACTGGAAGTTTGTACCCTTTAATCTCCTTATCTAGTTCAGCCATCCCCCCAACCCCGTCCCTCTGGCAACCACCAGTGGTCTGATCCAGCAGTATGGCTGTAAATAATATCTTTTTAAATTTCATTTTCTATTTTATCTTGTTTATATTATATTATTTACAAGTGATTTTGTGAACTTTATTAAATTCACTTTTGTTCTAGTAATTTTCCTACAAATTACTGACCTTGTCTTAAAACTAAAAGAAAGCTTAGCATATATGTCAGTCTTCCAGAGTCGGCGGTGGGAAGTGACGGGTTTTTATGCGCAGTGGAAAGGACTCGGTCAGCACCGGTGTTCGGTCATGGAGGGAGAGTGGCCAGGAGGAGGGAGCCTGGACAGCTGGCTTCCCTGAGGGTCTCAGGAGAGCCCTCTGTGAGCTCAGAGCTCAGCGGCCTCACAGAGGGTTGGAGGTTGAACACTCTGGGCTGTGGGCGGATTTCTTGTCCCCTCTTGGGCACTGAGGTCCTCATAAGTAGCAAGAGTATCGCTCACTGTCAGGACACACAGGAGCCGGGATCGCCATGTCCAGAGCAGGGACCGCGGGTGAGAGGAGCAGGAAGTGTGTGGAGATAAACCAGCTTTCCTCTGTCCCGTGACGGCACAAGGCTGGCCGGGTCGGCCCAGGGCTCAGGCCTGGGTCTTCGTGCCTGTGGCTGGCCCGCCCGCCTTTAGTCCATGGCACTCGGTGCTTGTTGTCAGGCCCCAGACTGTCTGAGCCACGGGCTGACAGCAGAGCAGACCGCCTGCGCCAGAGCTGTCCTGGGAGGCCCTGGCCACGTGGCCACGTGACTCAGCCTACGCCCCCCACGTGTGTGAGCTCTCCCCCGGATCGCGCACCCTGGGTTCCACTTTCCCCCCAAGACTCTGCCCAGCAGCTCTGACACGCTGCGGAGGCCGTCCTGGGGGCCTGGCCCGCACACAGCGTCCACTCTGTGACTCGCTGTCCAACGCTCACCGGCCGCTCCACAGGGTGCGTGGGGCCTCGTCGGCGAGGCTGAGCCACGCGTGTGCGAGGCGGCCGTCGCGGTGCTGCCTCTCTAGGAAGCACGACCGCCTCAGCTCGCTCCACAGCGAAGGCTTTCCCTCTCAGTCACACTGGGTGGAAAGGTCGGGAACGTCGTCTCCCCACTGCCTGGAGCAGGCTCTCCAGCAGCACGAAACCCGCAGGCAGGAACCAGCTGGCGGAGGGAAGGAGACGGCGAGGAGGGGTGTGGGCCACCCGGCGGCCCTCAGGCTGAAGGCTTTCCGTGTAGCTGCGTTCTCGCCAGATGTGGGCAGGGAGGGACCACTTCACTAGGTTACTGCTTTTAAACCAAGCGATGAATAATTCACAGAGAAGCAGGAAAATCACTTTGGGGCTCCGTCCCAGTTCAGCCTGCCCTCCGAATTTGATTGACTTGATGAAAGCTGACTTTGCAGGAACGTGAATTCTTTTTTTTTTTTTTTAACTGAGCCATCCTGCCACCTGTTGGCAGCTCAGCAGCAGCTCAGCTCAGGCTGGGGATCGAACCGCTGTTGCTCAGAGCTCAAACTCTTGAGCGAGCTCTTAACCAACTGAGCCACTCGGCCAGCCCCCAAGAACATGAATTCTGAAGTGGTGAGTGTTCTCTGCACTCTCTCGTGACACGCTGTTGATGACGGGCCTGGTGGCTCTGACGGCCAGGCATCTCCGGGAGGCGTGGAGTGAGCACACCTGCAGTGGCTCAGATACATGGAGGCCATGCCCACGGCTGAGAGTGTGCACATGTGTCCACACGGCTGGAACCCGGGGGCCGCAGCCCCATCCCCCCGTGCACACAGCTGTGCCCCCGCTCTCCTCTGGGGAACGAAGTCGGTGGGGCAGAGCCGACCGTGGGAGGGAGGCAGGGGCTTGTGGTCTGGGGCTCGACAGCAGAACTGGGTTAAGTGAAAATGATTCTGTGAGACAGCGAAACCCAGCGGCTCGTCTGCTTGGCCTCGGCTCCCAGGCGTCCTTCCGCGGCCTGGTCCCCCTATGACTGGAGCCCCCCTTCTGCGGTTTCCCTTGTCCTCGTCATCGCCTTTAAAGCCATCGCCTCCACAGTACCAGTGCGAGGGAACACCAGCCTCTACACCCCCGCGGCCGCTGTCCAGCTTGTCCCTCTGTCACTCTGACCTCAGGGTGCCGCTGCTGGCCTGCCTCACCCCACTGACCCCAGGTCAGGCCCCGTCTTCTCAGATCCCCTGTGCTCCTTGTACCCCCACTCTGAGGTCTCTGGGTACATCCACGCCTGTCCGTTCTGAGCCAGCACCCACACACGGCGGACTGGGGAAGCACGCCACACCCCGCAGCGAACACTGCCCTCGAGGGCCTTGCATGCTGCCCGTCGGTCTGACCGCAGGTGCTGCCTTCGCCCCTTCCCGCTCCGTCCCACTTCAGCACCTGCTCCCCGACCGTATCCACCTGTCCTCTCACCGAGACACAGAAGCAATAGGAGAGAGTGCCTGCCCCCCGCCCTGCCCCCCGGCCGGCCTGTTTCCCCGCCTCCCACTCGAACAGGCGCCCGTGCTCCCAGCAGCGCCAGCCATCCACCTGAGCCTCAGGTCCCCCCCCATCGGCAGTCCCCCTTCTCACCGTGTCGTCAGCTTAGGAATATGCCCGTCTCCGTCTTTAAATGAAGCCTTCACTGCTGGCCCCACGTGGTCCCTCCTCTGCAGCCTCACCCCACTTCCCTCCTCCCCTTTCGGCCACGTTCCTTCAAAGGACCGTCTGTATTTGAGTCTCTGCATCACCTTCCATTCTGAGCCCACCCGAGACTACTTAATCTGTCACTCAGCCGGCCACAGTCGTTTCTGAATCCGAGTCTTCCGACCGCCCCCGGCTCTGACACTGCCGGCCGCTGCTCCTTCAGCTCCCCTCTCCGCTGGCCTGGCCCTGCTGGGTCCACCGCACCTCCGTGGCCTCTGACTTGGAGTGCTCCAGGGCTCAGCCTGAGCCCTTCCCCTTCTCACTTAACTTTCAGTCCACATCTCCACCCAGACCTGTCCTGAAGTGCAGACCCATGTGCTCCGTCGCCACCTGATGTCCACGCAGGTGTCAAGTAGACATCTTTTAAGCCCACGCAGCCAAACGAGTCCCCACCGCCTCCCAACAACTCGTGCCACGTCCCACCACAGCAGGGCCCCCACCTTCCCGGGGCTCAGGCCAAGCATCCTGCGTCGCCCTGGACTCGGGTCCTTCTCCCGTCCCCACACCCAGTCTGCATGCGCTCTGCCAGTTCTGCGTGGTGCATCTGGTCTGACCGCCGGTCACCACCCGCTCTGCTCCGGCAATGCAGGGTGGTGATGGAAGTGATGGGGGTGGGGGGTCCCTAACCCACGCGTCCTCTGCCCACCCACAGCACAGCCCGTTCTTAGGGGGGAGGCAGATGCGTGGGTGTCCCTAACCAGTGCCTCCTCTGCCCACCCACAGCACAGCCCGTTCTTTGCCGAGCAGCTGACTGCGTTCCAGGTGTGGCTCACGATGGGCGTGGAGAACAGGAGCCCACCTGAGCAACTTCCCATCGTGTTACAGGTGAGTCCCTCCAGCTCGGGCCAGGCTGGCCGAGCGTATCCCGTGGAAGGAAGTTAGGAAACCCGCAGCGTCCTGGGATGGTTTATCCGGGGTGGGCATGTGGGTGGTGGTGGCGTTGGCGAGAGCGTGCCACAGATCCGTCAGAGGTCATTGCAGCTGACTGAAGTTATTCCTAAAGGGCTTTCCTGGGAAAGTCATGTGTCGACCCCCCACCCCAACCTCCATGAAACACTAATTTGGGGTGTAGTCAGCCGCCCCCATGCCTCCCTTACGCTTCAGGGGGACCTAGCACGGGCACCCCTGGTTCTTGGAAGGACCCAAGATGCACATTAACCCTGGAGGAAGGCGACGCAGAGCCCTGAGCAAATGACACGTGGGCCGCCGTGGGCTCCGAGCCGGGCACCTGTGGGTCCCATTGCTGCCCCGTCCTGGACGTGTGTCGGTGCCCCCACTCTGCGTGTGCTCAGAGGCCAGCCGCGCGGCGGCCTGTGTCACCACACTGCAGGCGTGCCCCCCTCCGTGGCTGGGAGATCAGCCTGTGGGTCTCGCCCAGCTAAGTGTTTGGTCCGTGACGAGACGGGATGGGGGGGCCAATACCAGCACCCCTCCCAGGTGAGACGAGGAGAAAATTTCAGAACTTCTTTTTCAGTGATTGTGGATTCATGGGGGAGGCGTGTGGGCTGGGTCACAACATAAGGACTGCGTCAGACGAGCTTTAAACCCACAGTCAGTGTAGACACCAGGATCTAATGACTCACTTAGAGCCCGGCAAAGCTTTTCTGCAGTTGGGGCAGCTGGTTGACCATGAGAAGCTCAGCACAGCTGTGGGGGTAGGAGCTGTGCCTGTGGCAGGAGGGCGAGTATTTTCCTGTGTTCAGTTCTGAATTGGAGGGCGCCCCGCCCTGGGCCTGGGGTCTTCAGTTCCAAGAATTGGCCAGCGCGGTCATCACCGGCCCCAGGGCGCTGCTGAGGGCCCTGACCTCCAGGGCGTGGGATCACGTGTCTGCCCGTCCGAGGGCTTCCTTACCCAGGCTGCTGTCTGCATCGTGCTGGAAGCACCGCCAGCCTCACAAGGCCACATGCTGTGGGCAGCTCCATCGATGAGACTCATTTGAAAAATAGGTGATCAGTGTCCCCCTGTCACCACCATGGACACAGCCGCTTGCCTTCCTGGTGTGGGTCCTCTGCCCCCGTCAGCTGCACGCTGGCTTTGAAGATCACAGAGCTGAGGTTTCACCTGGTTCTGGACAAGTGCCAGGAATCTCAGCAAAAAGGGGCTGAGAGGAGAAGGCAGAGATGTCCAAATGCAACAGTCGCCTGTGTTGCCTCAGGAACAGGTGTGCAGCAAGGTAACGTCGTCGTGGTCTCCCTGGAGATGTGCTGGTGCTTCTGCGCTGTGGCTCTTGCTTGTCTGACATCATGAAAAGAATGCAGAAGTGGTGACTGTTTCCTATATGCTTCTGGGTCAGCTTAACGTAAGACTCTCCCAAGTTTGCAAGATGAGCTGTGAACAAATAAACAAATTTTCAAAACCAAAAATGCAATAATAATAGCAAAACAAAGAAATCTGACCGATTGGCAGAAGCCAGCGCTCCCCTTTGGTGAGCGCAGCGAGGCGGCCAGGTGTGAATAAAAACCAGACAGACAGCATTTCGGGGGCAGCAGAGGCGCGGGTTGGACGCCACCAGGGTGTGTGGAGCCTATGGACCCCCAATGACCTCCCAGTATTTCGGCAGTGGGGGTGCGAGGCCAAGCGTGTCCAGTCCAGTTCTTTCAGTCTGGCGAGCTTCCTCTTGTAAATGGCCTCCTATCGACTTTTTTTTAACATTCCATTTACAACCCGTTCTCCCTCCCTCAGGGGAGAGAAGGCCTAATAGAGCTGCCTTCCTGATGCTGAGATAAGGGAAGTGACTGTGACAAAAGGGGGGTGTCGGGGTGTGACCTTCCACAGAAAGGTCACAGATTCTCCGTCATCCTGCCCCCGGGCGGTGCCCAGCTTGGGCCAGCGATGACCCTTTACTGAAGAAGAGACAGAACGCATGGGGCCACGTGGCCCACTGGTCACAGCCGCGGCGCCAGCTCCTTTCTCGTTAGCTCAGCTCACCTCGCCGTGCTTTACCTTCAGGAGCCTTGTTTTTGCCAAAGTCTGGACCCTGTTGTCCATAAATTGCCCTGTTGTGCCGTGGCAAGTGAGAGAGTGTTGCTTAAGGGGAAGGGTTTCCATACAGAGACCCAGCTTTTCCAATTCCTGCTGCTTTTCCCACACGCCAGAGAGATACTGCTCAACCCAGAAACGCCGAGGCATTCGCTGATGAATGACCATCAGGGTCAAATGCAGGGTCTGCTCGGCCAGCGGATTCGCAGCCCCTCGTGCAGACATCGGCGTGGACATGTGCTGTCACCGACCAGCCCCAAGCCCTCTTTGCCTTTTGAAAACAGAGCTCGACAGAAGGAACGGGAGGGAAGGAAGACTCTGGAAGCCGCAGCCGCAAGGCCCGGCTGCTGTCTGCTCCCTGTGCACAAAGGAGCCTCCGAACCTGGAAAAGAGAGAAGGAAGGGATCTCACGGGACTCGGTGTCACTACCTGTGCACAGACCTTGGAGTCAGCACAGGCCTTTCATTAGGAGAACCGTGGGCTTTCACTGTCGTTTGAGGACAGATAGAATATTTGGTCTCAAAGTACAGGATGATTACTAGGGGCAGCAGGTTGATACGTGGGGTGTTACTGTCACACCCTCACTAGGACCCCAGAACCTGTGGTCACCAGGGGTCGCCTGCCAGGGCTGCGGCAGCTGCACCACTGAGCCTCAGCCGGAGCTGAGCTCTCCACACACGAGGCAGAGCGCCCGCTCTCACCTGGGCCTCACGTCGCCATGATGAGTCTTCAGTTTCTGTTGCCACAGACGAAGGAGTCCCATTCCGTCCCCAACACTTACCTCGTTTCCAGAGGTTCTGGGGCAGATCCAGGAGTGGTCTGAAATGGGAATTTAAAAATATATGCTTATATATTCAAGTATATATGTGTACACACACACACACACACACACACACACACACACGCCAGTCCTTGTAAAAGTAACTTTAATTTCTGTAGAGGTTCTATTGTTTTTAAATATAAATCAACAGAAGGAATCAGAAAGAAGATGGAATGTTTAAAAACAACACCACCCCACATTTTCCCCTGGGCTGTTTGTTGCCGATGTTTAGTTTCCCATGAAACATTCATGATCTCAGCACAGAATCCTGCATTGCCGAAGGCCTTCAGACGCCGAGTCTGAGACAAGCGGGCTGGCGATGCTTTAAAGGAGTCTCATCAACGTGGACACACAGTCGGGACCGCTTGTGTCACAGCAGTGGTTGTGACTGTCTCCTTTCCACTTTGCATTCGTAAATGAGACCCTGGAGTGCCGGGCGGTTTAAAACTGATAACGTGATAACGTGCGCTGGCCTGGCTGGGTTTCTTAGCCCCGTGCTGTTTCCTCCACTGCAAATCGCTCTGCTGTTTACCTTGAAAAACAGACTTTCGTTCATGTTTGCGCTGTTTTAAATAAAGGGAACCAAAACGCAGCATCTTCTCAGCCTCCAGCATGTGTGATGGTGGCTCTGATGACTGCAGCTGCTTCCACAGACCGGCAAGCGGGAGTCTGCTCTGCCTGGACGCGCTAGAAACCTGCACTTCAGGCAGTTTTGGTTTTTTTTAAAACGAATATAGTCACTGAAACGCTTCTGAAAGAAGATGCATGTGTCCTGTGACTGCACACTGAGGCCTTGATGTGAAGATTTACTAGGTGGCCTCGTGCTGGACAACGTTTGAGAAGAAGCTCAAGTCAAATGCTATCCCCCCTGCCTGGTGAGGAGACAGAGCTCTCCGGGGGGCACATGATTTAAGCCACACAGGTAACAAGTGACAGTGGGGTGAGATCAGGCTGCTGGACCCCAAGCCCACACTTCTCACGGTCCGTCTGCCCCTCCAGACCTAGCTTTCAGGCAGCAATGGCACTTGACAACCCACGAGCTGCGGATGGGAGGGACCAGATCCCAAGGAGAGCCCGCATATAACCTTTCCCAGCTGCACAGTCAGCATTGCAGCGTCCCCACACGAAGCAGGACACTCAGACGCCCCTTGCAACAGTGATGTGGGGACGGGCCCCAAACCAGGGGAAGGCGAAGCAGATAGCGTGCCAGTGGCTGCACCCTCAGCTCGCCCTCCTGGTCCGCTTCCCTGACCTGGGGGCACCCCCCCTCCGACCCCCCTCCCCAGGAGTGTCCTTCTCAGAAACCTGGTGCCGTCAGGACCGCCCCCTTCTGTCCCCCACCTCATGCTCCTGCCTGCCCCCTCCCCGCTGCTCGTCCCACCAGCTGAGCTCACCCCTACACGGGGAGCTGCTGTGGCCCCGCATGTCCTCACCCTGTGCCCCTCCTGCTCTGCCGTCCTCCCTACGACTCCACGTCCCTGCACCAGTGGGTCCTGTCACGGTCCTGCTGCTCACCAGTGGCACCAGGTGACATGTCCCTGGGCTTCAGAGGCGACACCCTCTCGTCCACTTCCTCCGCCCGTCCCTTCCCTCGCCGCCCAGCTCCCCGCTTGCAGGCCGCCCGGCCTCGCTGGCTGCCCCCCGTCCTCTTCTTCAGAGTCTCCCTGACCCTCCCTCGCAAGCTGTGTGAGTCACACCTCCCGCTGCCCTGCAGTCTGTTCATCCCCACTGCGCATGGATACTTTCCGTGTTTGTACCTGTCGTGTTGGCAAGTAATCGTGTGCTATGGGCTAGTGTTGTCCTGGGAGCTTTAATTTCTTATTTAATTTAATAAAATCTTTGTGCTATCCTTGTTTTATGAATTAAGAATTGAGGTTCAGAGAAGTTAAGTAACGTGCCCAAGGTCACACAGCAGTGAGCCCCACGGTGGTCTGCATTGTCCTGCACCAAAATCAGAGAGGGAAAGAGGGATGGACCGTGCGTGTCACCAGAAGTGCCCATGGTTGCGGCGGGGGTGACTTGGTCATGGAAGTGTGAGGATGCTGTGACTCTGTCGGGTTTCTCCCAGGGAAGGTGGACCTGTCAGCACATTTATTAGCAGTTTATAGAAGCAAGGATGTGATAACGACTTACATCCGGCACTAGGGAAACTGTTTAAGTAAATTACACACGTTTGTAGAGGGACGCTGTCGGGAGGACATGCTGCCAAGTCCGGAGATGGGGGACAAGATTCGGAGCGTTACTTAGTCAGAAAGGAGATGAGAAGGGCCAGCCGAGTGGCTCAGTTGGTTAAGAGCTCGCTAAAGAGTTTGAGCTCTGAGCAATAGCGGTTCTATTCCTGGCCTGAGCTGAGCTGCTGCTGAGCTGCCAACAGGTGGCAGGATGGCTCAGCTAAAAGAAAAAAAAGAAGAAAGGAGATGAGAAATGCAACGATGTACTGTCTGGTTCAGAAGAAATAAGGGCAGGGTGTCCGCAGGGAACAGTGCCTGCAGGCGCATGTACCAAAGTGTCGTCAGTGAAATACATTCAAATGTAGTTAAATCCGTGTCCCGGCACTTCCTGCAATGCGCATTCACTTGTTCAGAACGAGCAGAGTTAGCCTCGCCCGTCTGACTCTGAGCTGGGCGAAGGCAGCCCCTGCCAAAGCCACGGGGGCACCTGAGCCCGCCTGTCACCCCCGAGGCCCCGGCGCAGGCTTGGCATGCGGCCCCGCAGTGACCCGTGTCCCTCTTTCTTTCCCAGGTGCTGTTGAGCCAAGTGCACCGGCTGCGAGCCCTGGACTTGCTGGGGAGGTTCCTGGACCTGGGCCCCTGGGCCGTGAGCCTGGTGGGTGCTTCCACGTGGACAGGGTGGGCGGGCCATGGGACTGAATGGGACAGCCTTGCCATCGAGGCTGACCGTGGGGACTGCCAGCGGCCTGGGGGGTCCTCGGACAACGTGCTGTGGGCCTCTGTTGCCGCCGTGTCTGGCAGCTGTGCCCTCTCGTCCTGTCTGCTGTTATCTGTCATCAGCTTTGCTGGACAGAAAGCGCTGCCGCCTCTCGGTGGCCGGCCCTGCCCCAGCCCCGTGCCGGCCACCGTGGCTTCTTTCCGCCCGCGAGCAGCTGCGAGGCCTCACCACTGTCTTCTCGCTCTGAGTTCAGTCACAGCTCTGGTTACTCCTCTATGACAGAGTAGAAACGGCTGTTTAACACAGAAAAGTGGCAAAAATAGAACCAAAAGTGGCTTGTTTTATCAGCACCTCACCAGGAAGGGAAATATTGAGACGGAATCTGTAGGTTAATAGGGACCCCATTTGGTTCTGTTTGCACTTAAACTTATTGGAAAGTTAAAGTTGGAGAAATGAATACTCGTGAAACAATGAGAAATGTAGCTGAATATTTTATGCTGTTAAAAAATAGTTCATTTTTCTAGGTGTGGTAACGGTATGCAGTCATGGTTTTATAAAAGAGACCTTATCTTTAGAGGTAGGTGCTCCATGTTTACAAGTGAAATTATGGGACGTAAGACGCGCTTCGAAGCATTCCAGGAGAGGGCAAGTGGGGTGGACGAGGCAGGGCCAGCAGCATGTGGTCTTAGCTCGCTTACCGTATTTAAGAGTTCCATTATGCACTGTTAACAAAGAGTGACCGCGACAGACCACTGCAGGAGGAGAGAGGAAGTCTGAGCAGGGCCCTCGCTGGGCACTGACGCCCCCGTACCTGCGGCCACAGGTCACCAGGAGCGAGGGCCGGTCCTTGGCGAGCAGCTGTGTGAGCTTGTGCAGAGTGGTGTCATCCAGGCATCAGGGAAAAGCCGGTGAAGGATGCAGGAAACGTCTTAGTGGCGTTTAGAGCCATTTTCATTCATATGGCTCATTTTTTAAAAACTAAATCTGGCCCTTTAAAGAATTAAACTTGTGCTAATTGGAAATGTTGCTAATGTAAGAACAGATGCTAGACATGGCCTATGACAAGGACCCAGGACCTGCCACTGGCCTGGGCCAAACCCTGCACCAGTCCTGGAGGGGGACACCTTCGTGGTATCTTTGGAATCCCCACAAATTTGAGATAAGGACAGAGCAAAACTGATGGAATAGACTTACCTGGACTTTCCCCATTGCCCCACATGCTGAAATGCCATGTCCCCCCCCCCCCGACTTGCCTGTGTGAGAGCCGAGAGGGCCCCCAGATGAGGGGCTGCCAGGAACCAGGCACGGGAGACCCAAAGCGGTCCCCCGAGTCGCTGCCGCCCCCCCCCCAGGGCCCCTTCCTCTAAAGGTTTGTCTCACGTGAACCCGTGAGAGTTGGAGCGAGCAGGGCGGGCGCGTCACCGAGAGCGAGAGGCAGGTCCACACGCGAGGCTCACAGTCGGAGACCTTTGCCTTGTCGCTGAGAGCAAGCAACGCCACCAAGGCGAGGGCGGTGGGTGCCCAGGCACAAAGCCACACGTCCCCCACGACAGGAAATGGCACAGGTTTATTCTGGCCACCAGAGCAGAGCAGACGGAGTACCTGACACCTTCTGGGATAGAGCCAGCGAGAAGGAAACATGGAGGAAGCCGCTCGCTGGAAGCAGGCACACTGTTCCCATCGCACTTCCTGTGTGTCACTGGGCGGCACGACGCCTCCTGGGCCACCGCGTCCGGATAGCTGACACTCTGCTCCCTCGCAGGCCTTGTCCGTGGGCATCTTCCCCTACGTGCTGAAACTGCTGCAGAGCTCGGCCCGGGAGCTGCGGCCACTGCTCGTCTTCATCTGGGCCAAGATTCTCGCCGTGGACAGTGTGAGTAGCCCGTGTCCTCCTCCTCCGCGGGGGCGACACCATTTCTGCGTGGTCCACGGGCCACGCTCCCCACTGAGCCCCCGCTGTCCAGCCCCGGTGGCAGTGGTCGCCGAGAGCCGGCAGGGTCACCGAGGTGCGGTGCCAGGGGCTGGGTTCTTTGTGCCTGCCATGCTGACCCCGCACTCCCGCCTCCAGAAGAAACCCCATGTTTCCCTCTGGGCCCAGGCCTGGCTCTGTCACCCACTGTCAGGTCACCTTTGCCGCGTGCACTCTACTCGCCCCTCTCGCCCTGTGTGCTGCCTCCTGCCCGTCCCCCACGTCCCTCCAGCCACTAAATGACCCTGACCGCTTTCTTTCGGCCCTGCCTCGTCCCGACCCCATCAGGCTCTGCCCATTGGTTTCCCCTCCACCTGCCCCCGGCCTGCGAACAGTCACACGGAGGCCGAGGCTTCCCCTGCGAGGCTCAGCCCCACAGCACTAACGGTCGCTACTCAACCGTGACTGCCCAGCCCGCATCCCCCACTGCCTCGTCCTCTGGCCTCGGGGCCTGCGGTCACCTGTCTCCTCCACAAAGATTAGAACCGAAGGCGGTGGGTGATGCAGAGGTCAGCCGTCTCTGCCCTCGACAGGGTCACAGTGCAGTGGAGCAAAACTCTGTGCTGTGAGGCCGGAAGTCACACATCCCTCAGGAGGCGCATGCCACCAGCGTGACATTTCAAAGAGGGGAGCCTGAGATGCGCTGTGGGCAGGCGGCACTTGTGCTGGACTTACCAGTGTGAGGGCCTTTGAGCGGAGGTGTCAGGTGGTGGGGGGGCACGGGGACAGCTTGACCCAGGACAGAGGAGCGTGAGCACAGACGGCATTCAGAGGCGGCAGCTGCCCTGAGGGGCTGAGACACTGGAGACGTAGGGCGGGGCCACCAAGCAGAGGGCACTGCCTTCCAGGTGTCGGAGGTCAAGCTGCATTTAGCAGGTGTGAGAAACGTAAAGATTTTGGAGCACAGAAACAGTAAGAACCAAGCTGTGGTTCATAAAATGTCTGGTGTCGGTGTAAATAGATGATAAGGTTAACGGAGGGGCGGGCGCCGCTGAGGAGGCCGACAGTGGTCAGGGAGGTGGGGGCCGGGGGACAGGAAGGCCAGGTGGGCATGGCAGAGACGGTCTCGAGTTTGAGCCTGTGCAGTGGCGGGGTGGCCATGTCGGTGACAGAGGGGCAACCGGGCGAGGCGGATGTAGTGAGGGGAGCACTCGGGAGACCATGGTGACGAGGCCTTGTGACCCGAGAGACGGAGACTGGGGCCTCGTCCAGCCAGGGATGGTGGCGGGTGAACCCTCAAACGGTGCAGGCAGAACCGAGGAGCTGCTGTGGGGGAGCAGAGGGGATCCGTGGGGGAGCGTTCTCCAGGGACCCCAACCCACAGAGCACAAAGGAAGAGCTTCCGGGTGCAGGTGGGAGCTGGGAACAGGGAGACCCTTGGTTCTGCAGGGCGTGGGGACAGACCCACCAGCAGGGGGCTGGGCCTGAGGGCTGCTGGTGGGGGAGGGAACGGGAGCAGCGTCAGTGCCAGGTCAGGATGGGGGTGTGGGGGCGGAAGGGGGTCCTTGCTTGGTTTGAAGCGAATACTGAGCTCAGCAGGTTCCATTTAGTGCAGAAACAGCCGTGGGTGTGTGCTTGCGCCTGACGCCCAGTGGCAGCTCCTCTCGTGTGGAGAAGTCTCTTATTCCGACTCACCTCTGCAGGTGTGATTTGCAGACTCTTTACAGATAAGGAAGTGCTGGGTTTCAGGAGCCAACAGGACCGCTCAGCTGGCCTGGGCTCCGGGCCTCGGGCTGAGTGGGGTCTTCCCAGATGGCAAAGTGACAGAGCCGGTAACAGGTGGTGAGGTGTCCACCCCCCTCTGTGGGCAGAGCAAGGAGAGTGACAGGCTCTGCCTGCTCCCCCTTGGCCACAGCCAGCCGGCCGTCACCAGGGCCCTTGTGCCCTTGAAGTAGCCCTGCAGTCCACCTGTGAACTTGGGCTCTGTCAGCAAATGTCCCTTGTGCTCTCTGTCCAGCAACTCCTGAGCTGGTCCTGCTTGCCACCATCGGTCCTGCACCTGCTGGACGGAGAACCACAAAAATGCCCCTCTCACCACAAGCCCCACTAAGAAGCCCTGGCGACTCGGGCAGCCCCCCCGCCGTCCGACCATGCACCCAGTCCCGGGCTCCTCTCACCCCTCCCGGGCACAGCGTCACTGTGACGGGCTGCACGAGTGTCCCGGGGGCGTCCCCAGCAGGCGTGCCTCTGTGGCAAAGGCGTCTTTTATTCCGGTGTCTGCTGCTGTTGGCGGGCAGGTCCTTACTGCCTCCTCACCCATCCTTGCATGGCAGCCTTCTGTCTGCATCGTGAGCGCGGAGGGGCCTGCGGGCTGCCTGGGCCCCTCTGTGCGGACACCGTCCTGTGCTGGCTCCCCGCAGCCAGGACTCTCGCATCCTTGGGCGTTCCTGGCCTTCTCGGTGCTGGGAGCGCCCCTTGTCCGCGGGTGACCTTGACCTCAGTTGACCTTGACCATTCGTGTGCCTAGTGCCCTGGGTGTGGCTGCATCCAGTAAATGTTGGTTCTCTTGCTTGTCTGCTCCGGATGATGTATTTTACCTTCCCCTCCATCGAACCATCTTCAGGGAAACAATGACTTCTTTCAAAGCTTGTCCAAAACATTGGATTGAAAAGTTAAAAAAACTAAATTTCAAGCCTTCCGCCCTCATTTACTTCAGCAAGCCATCTTCACTTCCCCCTGCCGGCCGTCATCTGCTCTGGAAAGTACAGCAGCCGTGCTTACAAAGCCCAGAGCCACGACGTGGGAAGCCATTTGGAAATTTCAGAGTTAAAGGGAAGAAAAGAATAAACCTCACGTCTCCCCAGCCGTCTCTGACACTAAACCTCTTACTGCAAATCTGAAAGCTTGGGTTTGTGGATCAGGCAGCCATACCTTTTGGTCATTTCTGTTTGGCCCTTTTTCAGATGTCCTTGAAGAGTCCAGTTATGTAAAATAAAAGGTGGGGGGGGGCTTTTCTCAGGAAGATTTTTGAAACTTTGTTTCTCTTCTACTAAAATCCATAACTTAGATTTCCTTGGTTTTATGTAATGCCCGTTTTCTGCCCCCGGATCCTATTCAGGATCCCATGTGACATTTAGTCCTCAGGCTCCCCTGGGCTGTGACGTTTCAGACGCTCCTTGTTGGGGTGATCTTGGCAGTTCTGAGGAGCTGATGTCAGGGTCTGTGCTCCCAACATGACTCCTCAGTGTTGCTGTGACTTTGGTCACCTGGCTGAGGTGTTTGCCACGTGTCCCCGCCTGTTTTCTTTCCCCCCTTTCCATCCTGTCCTCTTTGGGAGGACGTCACTACGATGCACTGGGAGTCTTTGTTACGTGACCTGCTTTACGTCTGTGGTCGAACACTGTCCTTTATTCACTTTCATTATCTTTTAAAATCTGAATATTGTTCGTTTTTTTTAAGATTTTATTGGAGAATTCGGGGAGGGGAACAGTGTTGGGGAATCGGGGGAAGGGAACAGACAAGTTGCTGTCCTTTTGTTCTTCAGTCTAGTTGTGGAGGACGTCGCTTCACTGGCCCATGTTGGTATAATCATTGCGCTCTTCCCGGGTGAGGCAGTCGCTCGCCGGCCATTGGACGGCCACTCATGGCGGCTCATGGCGGCTCACATCGGCTGCCGGCCAGCCCCACTGCAGCCTACACCATCGCCAGTGACTCACGGCAGCCCAGCTCCAGGTCCAGCTGTTGTTCAGCATCTTAGCTGTAGAGGGCAGCGTCACTGGCCCTCATGTGGGATTCGAACCGGGGCCCTGCTGCTCAGAGCTGGCGTCCCAAGCCAACTCAACCACCTTGCCACTCGGCCAGCCCTGAATATTGTTCTTTTAATTTCTATTTTGGTTGATTTAGGCTTATTTTATAAGGTGTAGTATTGGAGCTATTTGGTTTTGCTGCTTTTGCCTTTCTGGGGTTTTCTAGTATTCTGTTTTGCGGTTTGCTCCCTATCAAATAGTCTTTCTTCTCTACCATCCTCCAACACCCTGCAAATGGACTAGGTGGGAAGGGCCCTGCTCTGACCACAGGCAGCTGCGTCAGCTACAGAATGGTTAGCAGCAGCCAGGCCTGTCTTCACGTCAAAGTCCCCACCCGAGTCGGACTTGTTGCAGGCACTTTATAGATGTTACTTATCCTTCCTGCCCCTCATTTTAGCAAAGATAAAATAATTGCATTCGTGGTCCATTTAATTCCTAAACTAACGCGCAGAAACACAACCACGGTGTTGGTGAACCCACGTCTCACCCGGAAGCTGCCATCAGGCCGGACGCACTGGTTATGTGACTCACGGTCCAGCCTGGCGTTTGGTGAGACAGAACCGTCATGAGAACGGCCGCGTTTTAGTCATCCAGTTAGATGAGGTGACTGCTTTTCTGAAGCCCTCAGAGCGGGTTTTCCTTGTGGGGTCCATGGAGAACTGTGGACCAGGATGGCGGGGCCCAACCCCCACGAGTCAGAGGAGCTGTCTGCCTGCCGCATCCTGGTACAGGCCCCAGGAGACTCCTTGCTGAAGAAGCCAGGCTGCAGCTGGGAGCGTCTGTCTGTCTGTATCTGGCAGGAGGGAGGCAGGTCGTTTGGCCACTCTGCGCAGACTGGATGGGGTTCAGCTGGGGAGGGGACAGATGGCCCGTTTGCAGGGTGAAACGTCAGCCAGCGCCCGGGGCAGTGCAGAACGGCCGCCGGCCTGTGGTGACTGGGGGCCACGTGATGGGCCGTCAGGCTGCGCTGGGCGGCCCGAGAGCACAGCCCGCTCTGTCAGTGCCAGGAGAGGGCGGCGATGTTGGCGAGGACCCGACGTCAGGCTGGGCTTATCGTGTGGCTCAGAAAGCACCGGCTCGGACCCCTTTCCCACCCAGTCACTGCGCCGGGCAGGGACCCGGAAAGAATCCAGCAGAACGCTAAGGAGATGATGCACC